TGTCAGAAATATATGCTCGACTTTGGACGACCGAGATTCGACACAGGGGAACATGCTGTAGTCCACTTGGTACTAAGATGGGACTTTATAGCTAAGAATCAACTACCTGGTCAACAAGATTGTCAATTTCACGTACCAGGATTGTCATCGGTCCTCGGACAACGAGACACAGAGGATTTGTCCCTATGCCCAGTCAGAGCTTTAAATGTACTTAGAACGGACTGCTACAAGAAAGAGAAACGTCTCTTCATTCAACTTTCACCTGCCGTGACTATTGAAGTCTCTCGAACCATAAATCTCATTTTGGATCAGAGCTGTCATTCTACAAGCTTATAAAGCAGCAGGACTGGCTCCACCTAGAGCGTCCAAGACTCATGAAGTTAGATCACTAGCGTCAACACTCGCACTTTATCATCCATCATGGACAGGTTGCTTTTGAAAATCTGACACAGTGTTTGCTAACCATTGTCTTCGAGACATTGCTACAGAGGATGTATCAGGCATTCACCAGTTTGGTCCACTTGTAGTGGCACAACAACTCACGATTCCAGCCAGACATTGAGTAACTCGCCCTGATCACGCTGACTCGTTGACGCTAAGCAACTGACTCCTTGACACTAGGCAACTGACCCATTGCCACCAGCAGGGAGTCCATGTTCCCCTGTCTTACTTGATAAGTCAGCACATGAGTGATATAAACCCAGATGAGTAATAGTCCTTACTTAACTTATGGGTTGCGATTCAGTTTCGGTAATAGTCCTTATCTTAACATATGAATCGTTCTAAGATAACTAGACGTTGAAGAGTACTAGATTATCTAAAATCCACAAAATCTATAAGATTTACTTCTTTTAATGAATAAAGAGAAGGAGGTACCCCGTTATGATAATTAGACAAGGAATAAGACCTCAATTGAAAGGATTCAAGTATTCCACTTAACCATCGAAAGGAGAAGGGAAATAAGCATGAGTCAGAATAGGTATAAAATATCATTCTTTTTTCATATATTCCTCCTTGGGGTACTTATAAGCATTTAAATGTCTATTTAAAATCCCTACGACAGTTGTAACAATATTTGAATAAAAAATATTTACAAAACAAAAACTATGTTTTGTCTTGTGAGACCACCCTTACAGGGCCCTCCGGACCCCTACAGCCAAGAGCAGGTAACTCTAGACCATAACCTCGTACCTCACTTTCCATGCTGTCCTTTCACTGGCAAGACGTGGGTCCATCGAAGAAGTTTAATTTCCTAAGCGACTATGAGTGTCTCAGAAACAGCTACTGTATGTATGGTTCTCTTTTTTCCCTGCATGGGCGATTTGGAGACTTGTTCTGAACATTTTCATTCATCTTTTTTGGTTGTAACTTGGTCCCTGTCGCTGTTGGCTCGCCAGGCGGGGGGTGATATCTGGGCTCAGGATCCCCCGTCCAAACGTTCTCACAGTGAAAAAGAGGGGTCTTCAGGAGCCGCCTGCTATACGTGATCGGCTCCCAAACGGGCAAAAGTTACCAAGGAGGCTTCATCTGCTAAGATGTGTGAAGCCCATTTCTGGTGTCCCCTGCCGTGATGTTGCTGGAATATTGCTAAAAGTGGCGTAAAACCATACTCAGTCAGTTCATCTGCTAAGTCTGTAAATTCTCCTCCTGTATCTACACCTGCCCCTGTACCTATCTCCAACGCACCCCCTGTTGCATGGGCATCCGTTGTCCCGTTTGACTCATTAACTACTCTTTTTCAGGAGCAGATGTCGTCTGTGAAATCCCTGATTGACACGGCGTTGTCTGGGTTCCGTAAGGAGCTCAGCGCGCCGGTCGTCGGGGGTGGATCGGACGCATCTGGGGGGGTTGGCTGCGGCCCGAGCTCCGGCTCGGAGAACGCGCCTTCCCCCGGGCAGCTTGATCCTGGCTTCGGCTGTGGTGATAGTGTGCCTTCGGTGCCTTCGGGTTCTCCCTGTCTTTGCCTGGTGCCCTGACTGGCGGTCGCCTCGGCGCCTGGCAGTCAGTCTGGGCTGCCCGGGAAACCTGTTGCGGCAGGTTCCTCGGGCACCTCGGCGCCCCGGTCTGGGTTCCCTTCTGGCTCCTCTCGACCTTTTGAGCCCTTCATGTTCAGCCTCTGTGGTACCCTCGGCGGTCTCTCTTGAGTATGAGAGTATGGCAGCCGAGGATTGTACCGAGGTTGATATGGAGGAGGATGAAGGGAGGGAGGAGTTGGTGGTTGGAGTCCCGTACTCCTTTGGGTCGTCCCTGCGGCAGGTTCACGATAAGATCGCCGAAGTCCTGCCCCAGGTGGCTGTCCCCGTGCAGGCGACCGATCCCGCCGAGTTCCCCTTCGACGGGACGTGCTACCAGTTTCGTGTGCTCCCCTTCGGCATCTCTACGGCGCCAAGGGTGTTCACCAAACTTATGCTAATCCCAGCTCAGTTAGCCAGGTCTCAGGGCAGGTGTTGTTACCCGTACCTGGACGATTGGCTTCTCAGGGCGTTAGGTCCTCAGTTAAGCAGAGCTTCCACACTGTGTGTGATGGATACTCTCGCTCCGTACCGTATCGTCAAAGTCCAGATGACTGTGTTACAGTTTCTCCAGTCGGAAACATGGCGGCGACAGTGTATGTGGATTGGCGTGCGCGTCTGAGGATGAGACCCGTTCAGCAAGCGTTAGCGCAGCTGTGGTCCTACTCGCAGAGCTACGAGACTATTCTCGCGACGCCCGAGTGGTTAATTCCTCACTTGCGGTGGTGGACGGACGTCGGGAATTTGTCCAGGGGGATCCCCCTAGACACCCCGACACCTTCCCTCTCAGTTCAGACGGACGCCTCCCTCACAGGATGGGGGGTGGTCCTGGGCGAACACTCAGTCTCAGGCGTCTGGTCAGAGCGGGAAGTCAGCCTGCACATCAATGTGTTAGAACTGAGAGCAGTCCGAGAGCTTTCGGGTGTTTGTTCAGGGCCGTGTGGTTCGTCTAGAGATGGACTATCAAACGGCCCTGTCTTACATCCTCAAGCAAGGCGGCACAGTGTCTCCGTCACTCCTTTAGGAGGCGTGGCAGTTTCTATTCTAGTGCAATCAGTTCAACATTCGGGTTTTGCCTGTTTATCTCCCGGGGGGTAGACAACGTACATGCGGATGCTCTCTCACGGCGTATACTAGCCCCGCACGAGTGGCTGCTCGACCGGGAGATATTCGGGATTATCTCCCAGTTGTTCGGGTCGTTCCAGGTGGATCTGTTTGCGTCTGGGGTGACGAACCAGATTCCTGTGTTTTGCTCTCGGATTCCGGATCCGAGGGCGCTAGCCAACGACGCCTGTCAGCTAGATTGGACGGGCAGGGTACTGTGGGCGTTCCCCTCGATACCACTGATTCCCAGCTCGGCTACTTGTGCTTCTTGCATCCCTTTGGTCGGCGCAAAGTTGGTTTCCGTTAATTCTCAGGTTTCTGGCTCGGCCTCCTGTTCTATTACCTTTTCGACTGGACCTCCTATCCCAGAACGGAGCGCCCCACCCGAATCCCAGGATTCAGTGGGTGGCTTGGCGGCTATTTCTGCGTTTCATATTCCTGTTGACTATGCTCTCTTGGGACAGCACCCTCTTGTGGAGCGTTTTTTTGCAGGCGTGGACAGAATCCGTTCGGTTTGCCCGGTGGATTAATCCCCCGTGGGACTTGCCAATCGTTCTTGATTGGCTGTCCGGTCCACTATTTCACAATCTGTCGGCTCTTTCACTCCAGCTGTTAACGTGGAAGACGGCTTTTCTTGTGGCGGTAACTTCAGGCAGGCGGGTTGGCGATATTCACGCCATGTCGGCCGATCCCGCGCTCACTGTTTTTCACAAAGACAGAGTTAGCATACGGCTACCTGATACTTACCGTCCTATGAAGGATAGTGCCTTTCATGTGACGACGCCTATTGAGCTCCCGGCCTCCCCTGCCCGGTACCTCTCTACGACGTGCTCACGTCTTAGATGTCCGTAAGACCCTTAAGGCTTATATCACGCGAACAAGGGGTATCCGTAAGGATAACCAATTGTTTTGTTGTTATGGCGGGGTCAAGGCTGGTCTTCCGGCGACAAAGCAAACCATTTCTCGGTGGCTTGTCTCTGCCATACATATGAGCTATACTCACACAGGGCATATCCCGTCTGTAGGTTTGAAAGCTCATTCGGTTAGGGCAGTTGCTACTTCGCTGCAGCCCTGCCCATTGAGATCTGCTCCGCTGCTATTTGGAGCTGACCGAGTCATTACAAACTTGACAGACTCTCCTTTGCTTAATAGATGTATTACGGCATTTTGTTTCTTGCGGCTTATTGCGGGACCCCCTTATCTTCACTTCCGATTGATTACGGGAGGGAGGGAGGGTTTATCTCGACTGTTTACATTAGCGAGGTTTCGCATTGTAATTATACTATGTTCGACCCTGACCCTGGCTCATGCCCCCGCCTGATTGGCTATGGTGGACACGTGACCGGGTAAGTGAGCTTTTTTCTGCTATTTTAGCTTGGGAAATTCCACTTCTTATCGGGGGTGTTTTATGCGGACGGAATGCCACTCCTTAGCTCCGTCTTTAGGAGTCTGTCTAATGCTTATAAGTACCCTAAGGAGGAATATATAAAAAAGAATCGAACTAACCTGTAGAGGTTTCAGATTCTTTGAATATATTCCTCCTTGGGGTATGCCCATCCACCTCCCCACATTCTGTCTGCCTTCGTTCAGCATGGAAAGTGAGGTACGAGGTTATGGTCTAGAGTTACCTGCTCTTGGCTGCAGGGGTCCGGAGGGCCCTGTAAGGGTGGTCTCACAAGACAAAACATAGTTTTTGTTTTGTAAATATTTTTTATTCAAATATTGTTACAACTGTCGTAGGGATTTTAAATAGACATTTAAATGCTTATAAGTACCCCAAGGAGGAATATATTCAAAGAATCTGAAACCTCTACTGGTTAGTTCGATTTTTATCATAAAAATTACATATTTTTGGAATTGTTTTCTGTAATTGTACTGTTACAGGTCCACAGACTTTAGTTCCAAGTGTGGACACACCTCACAGTCAGCATCTGATGAGTGCAGTGCTGGAACTCTCCTTGAAGGAAGAGGAGAAACAGAAAGATATTGATGAGCTAGAACGGAAGATTGATGTGATGCGGCAGATGCTCAGAAGGACTTTGGACCATCTCGAGAACAGTGAACACCGCAGGAAGGAGGTACTTATAACATCATCTGTCTCATAACTTCAAAACTTGTACTTCAACATATTGAATCCTAACATATTGCTCAGCTTGATGTAGTTCTGTTTGATGCAAAATTGCCTTGATAAATGAAATGTTTTTCAAGGAACATTCCTAGGGGAAGGTCATTTAAAATAACTTGTTTCATTTATAATAATTGTTGTATTCACACCAACTGACAAATTCTGATAGATTCTGATATCCTTGGAGTTAGCTGCAAAGGTGTATAATAGAAGAATAAGTGAAACATGTTGTATTCAGTCTTTACAAAAAGTGCTTCTTTACAGAATGTACCTGATGTTGAGTTTTGGTTTTGACAGCCAACTTTCATGGTTTCATTCCAGCTCCTTAGTGATAACAAGAAGATCAGGGAGAGAAAAGTGAAAGTTTTGAGAGGTAAAATGTGTTGTCAAGTGGCAGTACAACTTTCCAATTATGAACAACATCCCACACCATTTAGGTACAAAGACATGGAAGAGATTGACCTCACCTGAACTCCCAATCATATACTATCGGAATAAAGAAACTGTGCATTATTTGATGTTATGCCATATTTTAATGCAGAAAGATATTAACATCATTTGTGGTGTTTTCCTTAATCATTGTTAAACTGTTGTCAGGATAAGATCGAAATCTGTATGATTTGACACTAGGCATCATGACATGCAAGAGATGTGGTGTCAAAAGTCAGTTCACAAATTCATCATCGTGTGTGTCCACCATTAATGTTGATGCAGGTTTGACAACGACGATGCATAGATGACACTAAGCAATTGAAGAAAGCTTGGGGAATGATGTTCCATGTTTGAACCAATGCTTGTTCCAATTCAGCTTAGCCAATGGCTGATTCTAGGTTTGACGTAAACGTCGCTCCATTTCATCCCAGACATGCTCAATAGGGAACGGGTCCGGAGAAACAGCTGGCAAGGGGAGTACTGGAATGTTCTTCTGTCTCACTAAATCTGTCACAACGCAAACGACATGTGGACTGGCATTATCTTGCTGAAACGTGAAGTTACGTCTGAGACCCAATAATCTTATCTCTGTATCGCAGTGAGATTGCCACTGACAATGACAAATTGCGTCAGACCATCAGATGTGTTGCCGCCCCATACCATAACACTTTCGCTACCAAACTGTTGACGTTGAACAACGCCCGCGTCAGCATACCGTTCAGCATCGTCATCTGTGCAACCTTGCCCTGCCATCTGAGCTGTCCAGAAGAAATCTCGACTTGTCAGTAAACAAAAGACCATCCCAATCCTGTCTCTTGTGCTGTAGATGCTCTCTGCACAGGCAAGACATGCCTGTCGGTGACATTGGAACAAAATTGGAACGAATTGTGGGCTGTTGGGGCCGGATGTTGTGCTCCCTCAGTCGGTTCCGTACAGTCCTGGAACTGATTGGAAGTAAGCCAGGAATGGTCCAAGCAGTCAAACTGACAGTCCGGAATCGATTCCTTAGATGGATCAGTCAAATGTGGTTATCTTGCTGATGTGACGTCGCGCGTGGATGGCCGGTCCGAGGCAAATCTCTCGTGTAGCCATAATGTTGAAAACGTTTCCATAGAGATGAGATCGTGTTTTGATGGACACCAAAATCTTTGGCCACTTCATTTAGGGCCATTTGGGGGCATGGCATATGCGCAGTTTAGGTTGAAATCAACTTGTTTTCCACAACATTCAGAGGCTAGAGAATAATCAATCGTTCTTCACTTTTCAATGTCAGGTGTGTGAACTTCAGGTGTCAAAAAGCATGCAAAAAGTGAGTAAGTTTATTGTACCTAAAGTGCACGTGCCATGGGCGATACGTGACATCAAATTCCGTGCAAAGTGCTTTGCTACATGTTTATTTAGAGTTATTTTCATAACATTTCAAATAACTTATATTTTATACAATTTTATGTTATGTACAGTTACTTTTTCCGTTAGTATATTTTGTCACCTCTTTGGCAAGCAAATTTATAAATGTATCTGATTTTTTAACCTGTCCTATTTGATACCTAATGCCTGAATCCTGTGCGACCTGAAAATTGGGGATTTACTGAAAAATACTGAACAGCATTATTTCTTTGATCACTAGGCAATTAGGCAGCTATACTCTTTGTTGGATCAGTTTGATGAAAATATTTCGTCTTTAGGAAATATGTATAAGTGTATGAGTTTTTATGTTTTACCTGACCTGAAGCTACACAGTGCTTGATCTTCCCCACCTTAACTGGCAGTACTGGAGCATAAAGTAGAAATACTGATCGTAGTATGTGCCCCAGTACCAAGAGCTTGATCGTCGATGACCGCATCGAGGAAGATATGCAGAGGGATGAGAGGAGTTGAGGGGAGAGGTCCCGTACTCTCTCGGGTCGTCCTTGAGGCAGGTACATGAACGCATCGCTGCCGTATTGCCTCAAGTCATTGTCCCCGCGCAAGAGCCCAACCTTGCGGAATTCCGCCTGCTGGGGGAAGCCTTTGCCCCTAGTAAGGTAGGGGTTATGCATTCTACCATTACTGGTGAGTGAGGTAGTTAATCCTCTCCTGTTGGGGACCTGTTCTCGGTTCGATCTACCCGATCTTTGCAGACCATACTTGATAAGGGAGGATGCACTACTCGAACCGCCAGTGGTGGATGAGTGTGTTTATGTTTCAGTCACCCTTGGTGGGTCCTCTAGCTGGCTGGATTATCAATCTCAAGAAAACAGAACTCATCCCAACACAGGATCTGGTTTTCTTGGGAGCGAGATTCAACACAGAGCAGGGGACCGCATTGTCAAAGTCCCCTTGTAGCTTCAGCTCAGACATGGTTCCAGTTGCTAGGCAACATTGCAGGGTCAGTGGACGTGGTTTGGCTGCACGTCTGAGGATGAGACCTATACAGCAAGCACTGACTCAGCTGTTGTCCCACTCGGAAAGCTACGAGTCGAGATGCCGGAGTGGTTATTTCCTCAACTGCGTTGGTGGACAGACGTTGGGAACCTATCTAGAGGGCTCCCTCTGTAGTCCCAGATGCCTTCAAACAGATGCATCCCTCACAGGTTGTGGCGATGTTCTGGGCGACTGGTCAATCTCAGTCTGCACATCAATGTGCTGGGATTGAGAACAGTCCAGTTGGTGTTCGGGCAGGTTCAAGGCCAAGTGGTTCGTCTAGAGATGGACAACCAGAAGGCCATGACCTATATCATGAAGCAAGATGGCACTATATTTCCGTCCCTCCTTCAGGAGGTGTGGCAGTCTCTACTTTGGTGTGATCAGTATGACATACGGGTAATGCCTGTTCATCTCCCAGGTGGGTCTGTTAGCCTCTTAGGCGACGTACCAAATTCCAGTGTTTTGAGATAGCCAACAATGCCTTGCAGCTCAAGTGGACGGACAGGATACTGTGGGCCTTCCCAACCAGCTCGACTACTTGTGCTGCTTGCACATCTTCGGTCAGCTCAAAGCTGGTTTCCGGTAATTCCCAGGTTTCTGGCTCAGCCTCCTGTACTATTACCCTTTCGACCGGACCTTCTATCCCAGATTCAGTGGATGGCTTAACCATTTTCCAGATTCACCTCCAGGCTAGGGAAATTCCTTCAACAGTTGCAAACACAATTCTGGTTTCTGGTCTATAAGAGTCCGTCTAATGCTTATAAGTAATAAGGAAGATCTCTCCTGAAAAAGAATCGAACGAACTTGTAGAGGTAGCAGATTCTTTTGAAGAGAGTTCTCCTTGGGGTACGGCCACCCACCTCCCCACATTCTGTCTGACTTCGTTCAGCATGGAAAGTGAGGTACGAGGTTCAAGGTTAGAGTTACCTGCGCTTGACAGTGGGGCCCTGAAGGTTGAACAAGACAAACAGTTTATTTTTTGTTTTGTAAATATTTTTATTCAAAATATAGTTATAACTGTCATAGGAATTTAGAATGGACATTTAAATGCTTATAAGTACCCCAAGGAGGACTCTCATAAAAAATCTGCAACCTCTACAGGTTTATTTTGAATTTGTGTCGACTCCGTATATGTTTACCATTTTAGGATTTGCTTCAACTCATGGTTTGAGTGGTGCATTTCATGTACTGTTTTCACTGTAGTTTTTAAATACTATCAGTGAACCTGTAATTTTTTCCTATGTTTGAAGGCCTTTGGCTCAAAATTTGCTAATTTTTAGCAAAAATATTCTTTGTACCTCGTGCAAAACGTCTTGGTTCTGTAAACCAATATCCTCATACATTATTTGCTATTCTTACAGAATGTATGCTAAGCAATGCCTTTGATTCAAAAAGCCTTAGTTGTGAAAGGATCCTCCTTTACATTGTCCATCTTGCCGTCCAAATTGTACTGTTGCTGATTGTTGCTCTCTTTGCATTGGCTTACCTTTTACCAATTTTAACTGTTACAAGACGGTATTGTTAAAACAAGAAAAGCATCTTCTTCATTGTCAGCGGATTCTCCACCTCGGTATAGTACGTTTGGCTCAAAAGCAGACGGATGAATTGCAATCTAATTTGAAAACTGATAAACATATAATACTCAATGAAATGCTGATCATGATCAAAACATCAGACAGGAACAGCCAGGTGTACACGGAGCACATGCACAAGTGTCGACAAAGCTATTGATTCATTTACCTGAGCTGTGCCGTATCCATCTGTTCTTGCACACCTGGCTGTCCCTTTTTCTGCATTCCTCCCTTGTACCAAATAGTGAACTGTGTAAATATTTTAATGATAGTTTGTTAAAAAAACTTTGGATTTTTAGGACATAAATTCTGCTAAAAACTCAGAGTTGGTCTAATGTTGTTATTATGATTGGCGTTTCATTGAGTATTATATGTTTTGTCAGTTTTCGAGTTAGATCGTTCAATTCATCGGTCCGCTTTTGAGCCAAACGGACTATAATAGACAATGCCTCCCCACCAACGACAGCGGTGCCTGCTTCAACACTGTTGTATTTACACCATCAACACCAGTGCTCTTCGGAGACCTTTGACTGATTTATTAGACCCATATTTGTACAGTTGTTCTTGGGTCATATCCTACAGTATTGTCCAGATGAGTCGTTCCAGCCTCGCCATCTCTCAACATTTGCCCATTCCCGTGGTTCCTCTGATAGTCTGATGTCTGTGCCTGCCTGCTCATTGTCACAAGTGCTTTCCATCTCCTTCCCATGAATCAAAGCACCATCACCAGATGGATGCTAATCTGTCACATCCCCTTCTTCATTTCATAGTTGATGCCTGCCTCGGGTGCCTGCTTGGTACCCCACCTCTTCTTCCCTTTGTGATTTGTGCTTGTAGGGGGCCTCGCTACCTCACGGATCAGCATTTTGATAAAGTATCTCCTCTCCCTCATCGCCAGCCTGCAGTGTTGTCACATGCGCCAGGCGGATCCTTACCCTACTGATGATGAAAGAGAGTTTATTCCTGATTATGATGTGTCATTCCCGGATAGGGCTTTGACAACTGCAGACGCCCTGATGGCTTGTTGATCTTCTGCCCCATGCTTAGAATGGACAAGGCACTTCCCTACAGATGCAGCACAGGGTAATGGATTCCATTGATCGATGGATGATCTCCCTTGGGATCCATTAATTGCTGGTATTACTCGATCTTTGGATGGTGCCATGGACTTCACCATCGCCTCTGCACCCAGTGATGATGTTGTGGGAACATCAGCGCTTCAATACCCCAATACTGATGCTGCAGCCTGCACCATGACAAAAGCCTTAGAGTAAGTTAGAGTGGTAAATCAACAGCTCTTATCAGGACTGGATTGGCAGTTGTCTACTCATCTTCAGTATTGTCTTGGGTCCATCACCATTGCATAAGTGGGGCGGTATTTTCCACCACAAGTACATTCCATCAGTTTCATTGGTATAAATAAGTATAAATTGGTATAAATAAGTGTTTTCCTATCAGGGCGGTGGGGTAGCCTAGTGGTTAAAGCGTTGGCTCATCACGCCGAAGACCCGGGTTCGATTCCCCACATGGGCACAATGTGTGAAGCCCATTTCTGGTGTCCCCCGCCGTGATGTTGCTGGAATATTGCTAAAAGCGGCGGCGTAAAACCAAATTCAGTCAGTCAGTCATTGCATAAGCAATCAACCTGGGATCCCTCCTTCAGGACTGAAATGGTGCACCTGCTGTGGTGAGGATCCACAATTTCCGATCATCAGATTCTGCATGTAGCCAAATAGGCTGAGGCATGGGATATGAGTCAACAGGAGTTTCAGCTCCTCAGTACTATGGATAGACTCCTGTCCTATGCCATGTCTCAGGGAAGGTCCTATATTGGGAAACGTTGGAGTCGTTACCAGAGGGGCCAGTCCTCAACACAAGTCCCATATGAAGGCACAAGATGCCCTACAGAGGAAGCTTCTTGGGTGGGATGCGTCCCTGATATACTACAGCCCATCTGTCACCAATATCTTGCAGACCAGTTTCAGTCTGCAGCTTCAAGCTTCTTCCCCAGCTTGCAACTCGACCTTCTGAGACTTGTTAACTACCGCTGGAGATCCCAGCTCCTTGGGCCAACATCGACATTCTGTTTGCCAAAGGAGTCGTGGAGCCTCTGGACGTTACGCAGGGCCTATGTTCCCCTTCTTTCTTGGTCACCAAGAGAGGTTTCAAGGAGATGTGTATGATCTACAATATGGTGATCTCCATGTTTTTTAGATGCTTCCAATCAACCCTGTCCATCACTGGATCCTACAAGGGATTTTCTAGTTGGTCTCTATCTCCGGGATGCTTTTCCTCCATGTACCCATCCGTCCAGCTCATTGTCAGTTCCTTCCACAGGGGTGTGTAGCGCTTAAAAACAGTGTTAGAAAGACATATATAGGTATATAGACCCTACCCTAGTACTATATAAAAGGAAAGGGATGTAACGACGAAATCACCCCCTCCTCAATCAAAGTTAGATTTCACCACGTATAAAACAGCTACCTCTGCAATTCCACGCCAAAGCCAAGACAGCCAAAACTCGCTTTTAAATTCGTTTATTTATTCCAGCCATGTTGACATCACCTATGTAGGGCTAGATTCGATAGGCAGCGGTATTCCGCTTGTGTAAAAACTATTTGCAACATCTACATATCATTTCCACGACAGTAAGTTGGCATTTTCTCCAAAATCATCGGCAATCATACTCAATTGTCGGCCATAGATGGCCTTGACATTCAAGTTCAAGTGAACAACATAACTATTCCAATCAGCCTTCTAATAGAGCTTCAACCCTGTCTTGAGTGGTGGCTGATCCCATTAAACGTCTTGATTAATATCTCTTTCGTCAACTTTGAGGCCTCTGGCCTGTTATTTCTGCACCAGTCTCATCACGTTGTTGGTTTGACTATTGTGACATACCCTGCTGGCCTCAACTCTGTGTTGAACATTGCTCATTTGGCAGTTATCCGGAGTTTTCACTGGGAGAACCCGTCTAAAAAGTACCATCCTCCAGCTAAATGTGGTCTTACTTGACTTTCGACAAGCACTGTGTGAACTACTGGAGTCTGCATCCTTTGAGAACATCACTGTGAAAACTTGCTTTCTACTGACTCTTGCGACAATGACCAGGGTGAGTGAGCCTCATGTTCTTGATGTTTCTTGGATCAGTTTCTTGGATCAGTTTCGACCAGGGCCCCCAAGGACATTTGCTAAGATTCTTAGCCTGTTATGGGATTTTATTGCCATAAACTCCCTCATCAGCTCAATTAGCAGTTGTCAATTGTGCAGATCGATGCTCATGCTGTTGATCACTGGATTGTCTGGTCCAGAGTCGATTATTTACAGACTGCCGCCATATAGCTGGAATAGTGTGGCGTAAAACTAAGCTCACTCACTCACTCACTTACCAGTTGCACATTCCACCCATCTCTGAGATTGTCGGCTCAGAGGATGACAGGAACTGGCAGACTAAGAAGTGTAAAAATATTTTTAAAATTGTATGAAATCCATCTTGATATTCAGGGGTTTTGTTAAAGAATCTAAAAAAAAGAAGAAGATTTTTAGTCTATTACTTACAAAGCATGTACATATTTTACTGCAGATGTCCAAAAAAAACCTACCTCTGTAGTTATTCACATCATTTATTTTTCCATTCTTATGAAGAAAGACTGGTACACATTCTTAGCCATATATGTCTTTGAGAGTGAAAATATTATTTGTACTTATCCTGACTCATATGCTAAAGTTTCCACCTAACCATCCCAACTGTCTCCTAAAATAATTATTTCAGACCAATAAATACTAAAATGGAGAGAGTGACTATAGTCCATTTGATTTCATTTTAGACCGATGAATTGCTCGCTAACACAAAATCTAATAATTGCAACAAAACCAAATTTGCACAGTCCCATGAAATTGACAGACGAACTCTGATGATTTGTATGATAATTTTGGACACCCGAATAAAATAGTTGTTTAACGAACGATCATTATTTTATTGTCACTTTTCCCTATTTCTTATGAGGGGGGACCACTTGCTGGTAGGACAAGCGTGTGAAGTGAAATCTCAATTTCACACTTGCAATTCACAAACCTGGCTGTTCTACCAGCAAGTGGACCCCCCTCATAACACTAGCAAAAAGTGACAACAAACTAATGATCGTTTGTTATTCTATATTCGGGTGTCCAAAATTATCATACAAATCATCAGAGTTGGTCTTTTGATTTCATGGGACTGTTCAGAAGTTGGTTTTGTTACAATTATTAGATTTTGTGTTAGTGAGCAATTCATCTGTCTAAAATGAAATCAAACGGACTTTAGTCAGCTCGTTTGGTCACTTGTTTCTTGTGTGTCTGTGCGGGGCAAGGGTTTCATTCAGGTAAAGAAAATTCTGTTCTTACGGGAGAATAAGGAGATAAGCAATTAGAATGGGTCAGGAAAAGTGTAAAGAAATGTTTTCTATAAGAATATGCGTTCATATAGTTCTTAGCAAAGCCTACCACATCAAATGTCATTGGCGATTTAGTCAAAGGTCAATGTCCCCTTTAAAATAATTTTGATAAATACTTGAATCATTCTTTCTCTTGAATGTGGAACAAGAGTTATGTTAACATTAGAAGATATCATACATCTGACTTATTCCACAAAAACCAAGTGATTTGTTGTTGTTGTTATTGTTGTCATAGGCAATGATAATGTCAAAAATCACAGGTCATGACTGAAATGTCTCTAAAATGTAAGACTTTCTCAAAGTATTCATGGATTTATCATTAGTACCATACAAATCCTTTCTCTGAGGTAGGGCACTCCTGTGAAGGTTTCGGTTACAGGTCAAGATCATTCAGCTTTTTAGAATGGGAAACATTGTTCTATTATTCATTGCCAGCTACTGCTGCACTTCTATTTAATAATAATGATAATAATAAGAGTACTTTTATAGCACCTCATCTATATCACTCAGGGACATGCTCTAAGTGTGTGATACTTATATGTATGAAATAAGCGTAACATCAAGATTGAAACAATAATACTTTGAGAATTTGTAGTTTTGATGTATGTTGGGACGGAACATAGGTCACTTCCTGTTCTACTGGGGTGGTGGGGTAGCCTAGTGGTTAAAGCGTTGGCTCGTCACGCCGAAAACCCGGGTTCAAATCCCCACATGGGTACAATGTGTGAAGCCCATTTCTGGTGTCCACTGCCGTGATGTTGCTGGAATATTGCTAAAAGCGGCTTAAAACCAAACTCAATCAGTCAGTCAGTCCTGTTCTACTGATTCTGATTTCGCCTTAACCACTGGGCTTATATTATACAACAGCCATATACCTCAGCTTGTTTGTAATGACATTTACTGATTCTGTTCATACAGAACTGATGGGACATCAATCACTGGAATCTCCTCTGCACACCACTCAGCTTTCCCCTCCAATCCATGCAGCCACCGGGAATGTCATGACCACAACACGAAGCCTACTGTCATCCGAATCTATGGACATCGACATTGTCACAGACTGTGTAACATCAACAAGTCAGGCTAAGCCAGACTCTAACATCAGGATAGATCCTTATCACCCGGATATCCATTCTTCAAGACTCCTGGATCAACAAACAGAAGCCTCATCGCAAGCAGACACAGCTTCAAGGCCAGTATCCATGTCTACTGTTTCTGCTCCCCCTTCCTCAGTTACTAAGGAGGTTGACACTAACCCTGCACACTCCTCTCCATGCTGGGACAAGCCCACTAGTTCTCTCTCACTAAGTTTGGTTTCAGTTAAGCAAGAGCTGCCTGATATAACCCCATGTGTCTCATCCCACAGTTTGACTGAGGGCAGTGTTGTTGGTGAGAGTGCTGCAGTTGTTGATAGTTTTGTGCCTAACTCATCTGTTACAAAGTCAGCCCAACTTGCAGCAGTTTTGATAAATACCCAATCCTTGTTGGACAGTGTAGAGTCCAGTCCTGTTATCATCACTTCTGAAGACCATTTGGTCTCCAATTCATTTACCTCTGGGAAAGGTGGAACAAAGGTTGATTCATCGTCTGATGAAACTTTGGTCAGAACTTCAGTGGATTCTTCCAGCACAGTTGTGAATGTGACAAATTGTTTTCAAACATCTATTCCTTGTGCAGAAACCTTTTCTGATACGGATCGTTTGGCTTCCTTTTCAACTTGGTCTCCACTGGCTGACCGTTTGACCTCAGTGACAGGATCCGCCCTCAGGAGAACACAATATGTAGATGCAGGCGGAGGTGGCAGTGGGGAAAAACATGCGACAGAACCAACTGTACTTACACCAGATTTATGTGGCTCAACAAATTCAACTATCAAAAACATTTTAGCAAGTCCCCCAGTTGCTGACATCTGCTCTAAATCCCCCTTTGATAAACAGCCAAAGGATTCAATAACTTCAGGGTTTGTGTCTGATTCTTCAGGCCAAAGAAGGATCTCTGAATCGGAGCTTCAGACTGTTAACTCTGGCACAACAAAAACAGTTTCTGAATCCAGTGATGGAGATGCAGGTAAACGGTCACAGTCAGTTCCAATGACTTATCTTGGTAGTATTAGTGGAGGTGTGGAAACAGCTGCAGTTTTGAAAAAACTTGCAGCAGACTTGGGTAACCTGGGCAGTTTGAACAACATGTCTTATGTTATGCTTGACAGACAAGGTGTATCTGATAAATTTCAATCTGTATCATTGCAAACAAGGAGGAACTCAGAAAATAGTCAGAAGTCATCAAATCACACAGCAACAGACATCCATTTGATGGACCTGGACCTGAATGGTAATAACAGTGGGAAGGACTCCACTCCAAGAGATGAGTGGGAACAGAATGGGAGCATGGCCAGCAACAGCTCCCTGGGGGGAGAAGATCAGACGGTACTGTCAGACAGGCAACAGAAGAATGTCTCTGGAAACAATTGAAAGAGAAGCATCAGATGGGGATCGTACCTTGAGGGAAGAAGATTTTGTTAGAACTGAGAGTCCTGAATCTGACAACACACCAGGACGAGTACTTAAACAGTGCTCAGTTGTTTTGCAGAAATTGGAGCTTGAGAGACAAGCAGCCAATAGGTTAAATGAGGATGATGAAGCACAAGAGATGGCTGATCAAGATGGTCTGGTTCAGGTGGTACAGCAGCAGGAGGCACTGGTGCAGGAACAAGAACAACCTCGTGTAGTTCTTGTTCCTGACAGAACAAAAATAGACACAAATGGACCACCATCTCCAGGGAGGAAAAAGAGAAAAAACTAAGAAAGAGAGAGATATCTTGGCCAATAGAAGAACATACTGGTTTGATTCCAGTTCTGATAATAACTCCCAAGAGGAAGATACTGTGCCCAAACTGTCAACTCTTAAACAACAGCTTGTATTCAACCAAAGGGATAATAATTCCGATCTGGAACAAGGTTCTTTGGATAACAATATTGCTGATATCAAGAGGGAGATTGAACAATTTGAAGAACAAATTCAAGCTGAAGTTCCTCGGGAACAATGTGGATGTGATGGGAAATCCTGATGATGACCCACTCTTGTAAGTGGCCAATGACTTGTGATATATTAAGGCTTTGGAGTTTGAGTTTGCAGTTTTGTGTTTTTGTTTGTAGTTGTAGTTAGATTTGCAGTTTCAATTAATGGAAAACAATTTACCCTTAAAAGCGTATATAAGAAAGATCAGTTATTATTGATATATTTATTGTCAGTGTAACAAGGAATATTGAATTGTGCTTATGTGTATTTAATCAAGCATTCATGTATATTATTGTTGATAGCATGACTCTCTTGCCAAAGGCAAAAAAACAACTTTATGAATGCCTGAAGAAAAAGTTTATATCTTTGGGATGTCAAGTGAAGATGCATGGTATGCCACTAACCTAAAGTTTCTGAATTGTAACAGACCAGGGGTTTAAATCTGAACCCAATCACTTGGTAACCTGTTTTGTATTTAAGAAGTACGTTCTCAACATACATTGCTTCAAAATTATTGCAGCTATTGTGTTACGGAAATCTGGGCATAAGTTTGTTGATATATGCAAATTACAAAACTTTCTTTCAGCTGTGAACACATTTTAAAAATATGCATTCAATTCTGTAGCTTGAATTTCATGTGTGATCTAAAAACTAGGCCATGAAGCAACCTTCCCTGTGTCTAATACTCATATTCTTTGAAAGAAACATTGGGCGGTGGGGTAGCCTAATGGTTAAAGCGTTGGCTCGTCACGCCGAAGACCCGGGTTCGAATCCCCACATGGGTACAATGTGTGAAGCCCATTTCTGGTGTCCCCCGCCGTGATAGTGCTGGAATATTGCTAAAAGCGGTGTAAAACCAAACTCGTTTGGTATTTGCTGTATTCATAGTTATTGCTTAACCCGTTGTATACAGCATTGTGTATGCACCATTTGTCTCGTATACTTCACAAAGTACATGCATACAAAAAAAAAAACATGCCATGCAAAGTATTTTATCATTATTCTTTATGTGTTTTGATACTGAATGCAGAGCTGAGTATGTTTGTACATTTGTTTGATGGCTGCAACTGACTGACTGGTCTGTATATTTACAGACAGAGGATACAGCTGGCTGGTGATGCAGGGAAAGCACCTGAGTCACCTCCATGTGAAGCTGGCAGCCCGTCAGGTGTGACATACATTGGCCCCTCAGACCCCGTCACCTGTCTGCAGGTGTTCAAGAACCACATATATGTGTGTTACCAGGGAAATGATATTCACAGATATCACCTCAAGGTAGGTACAGTCATCCTTGATGCTGGTCTTGGAGTCCATGCATGACCATACATTCATAACATGGAATGTAGGCCAGGTCAAATCTTATTTCCTTGTGCATAGTATAACTGCTATTTTGTGTATTGTGCCCAGTCAGAACTATGTTAATTCATCAGAGGTTAACAAACAACAGACTTTTTTAAAATGGAAAGTTTGCTATTAAATTATCACTGGGCATAATAGTTTACCATTTCACTTGTAGTTCCTGTTATGCTGGGCATTGTTTTATAAGCAGTGATAAATAATTTTATGTACATTTATATTGTAAACTAAGCTGCAATTAGCAATCACTTGTTTACATATATTTTGTTCCAATCCTTTTGTGATTAGTTAAAAACAATCCATGTGAAGCTTAAAAAAAAATTGTATCATGATTGGAAGAACGTGTATCTTAAGCAATTATTTCACCAGGTATATTATGTCCTATTATGTTGTTTTAATGTATTTGCTTCTACGAACATATTTAAAATAGTTAACATAAACTTTGGTAAATTGTCTGATTCATTTTACACATGGGACATTGGGACGAGTCACCACTGGACCGTTGGCACATGCTATTTAGATCATGAAGGCAATATGCTGTCATTTAATCTTCAACAAATATAACTCATCAGTCAAAGTATGGATATGTATCCATTCTCTGACAGTTAAGGTTTCTTTCAAGGCAGTGATCAGATTGTGTGTGCTGAGAATAATGTGAATTGATGTTTTTGTTTGGGGTAAAGCAGACTCTTATGGAACAGGATGAGTGGAAGTTGTATGTGTACAGAATGAGTTGAAATAGGCTTGCCATTTCACAGATGGATTTGCCAGAGGTAACAGTTATTCGTGAAAGAAAATTGGACTGAATTTACTCTAGTCAAATCAAATGAACATAAGTATGAAGTCGAGGAAGATTGTCTTTTTGTACCTCATACCTTCTTGGACAATTGTGTTTATTCACTCCTTGACGAGGTGTGTTGCTTCATGCAAACATTATAAATACGCAGATGATGGCTTGTCTTAATTATAAAGTTGTGTGTCTGTGTGATTAGCAAGAAAATAAACGTTTATCACACAATTTCTCCTGCATATTTTTAATCATACTATTTCAATGTTAGGGTTGTGACAAGTCACCCTTGACTTCAATGCTTAATTTGGACCACTATAAACATTTGTGTTCACTTTGCCTTTCTTTATATACCTCACAATAGATCATCATGTAATTATTGTAATGGGTTTTGAAAAAACGTCAAGCCTATTCGTACACAGGCAAACATTGTACATTAGTATGAAAATAATAAGAAGAGCCCTACCTTTGAACTGTAAAATCTGATCAGCAGACAATAACACCAAGGCTTAAAATTCCATGAGAGGGTATGGGGTGATGTGGTGTATGGTCCCCAGGGGAGTTGAGATTGAAAATGGGATGTGCCTTTGAGAATGGCATCCAGTGATCGAGGGGAACAAATCGCTTTGAGCATTCATGTAGATGGATGGAGCGCTGTATATATATACCCATATAATTATGATAATAGCAGTTTACCTGAATTATTGTATCCTTACAAGCTTTACCTCAACTCCCTGACATTGGATCTAACTTCCGTGAAATCAAAAGCAGTAAATTCACATAGCACATTATCAAATGAGATTTGGACAGTCACAGATGAAGATTGTACTGCTTCTGAGTGCTGTTAGCACAATCCTTAGAGCAAATATGAGTCCTGTTATATATTCACCATTTCTTCTGTTGCTGTACCATGTGGGTGAGCAGTGACAGTGTGGTACTTGTAATTACAACATTATTTGGCAAGGTGACTTAAAACAAAGCTTCTGTCATATACATTTGGCGACAATCATATAAATCAATCTCTCTAAATCTGACACTCGATCACATTATTTATTGTGAGCTTTGTTGTATGCCATTGTTTCCAACCATGTACAAGGAACCTGTTGCAAGGGGGCCATGGGGGTAATGTAACCGGTCATTATTGCCGACAGAATCAAATAATGTTTCAGATGCAAACAGAAACATTTTTGTGTGACGCATGTTATTTAAAGGGCAACTTTACATGAAAATAACTCATTTTGTATTGCACTTTTTCAAAAAAGTATTTATGTAGTAGTTCCATAGCCAAAACAGTACAGATATCACTTTTATATAATCTGTTGTTTTACTCATTTCGATGATAAACACACCATGGCTTATGTCCAATGAAATATGACATCACTGGTGCCAACCGGTAAATGTATGACATCATTAGACCTTATAAGACCCATTTCACGTGGTGGAGGTACAGTGGTATGTAGTTATTGTGTCTCGATGTGCAGCTGGCTGTTAACCCTCATGGTGCCTGGCCATCAGCAGTTCCATACTGTTTTGATGTTGTGGTTTCAAGAACGTATTCAAATACTGTATACCCTGGTTCTAATGCCACCATTTGTCCAGGAGAAAATGCCAGTTAACCAATTAAGGTATATATACTACATGCAGCCAATATAATTGACATTTTACCAGGGGAAATTGTTCCCAAAACCATTGGCATTATAACCAGGGTATTATATATAGACAGGAAATCCATTCTGGCAAAAACATGGCATTATGTCCAGGGTGGCATTATAACCAAGGGCAGTATAACCAGGGTGCAGGATGCATCAATACATGACCAAAATATATGCACTTTTCAGTTTTTAATTCTGTGGGATATTCCCCCTTTTGTGATATCATCCACTCATTGCAGTGAGGGCAAAATTACTGAAAACTATATGCATCGTAAATCTCGGGACTGACTGACACATTACTAAATTGCCATTCATGGCATTATAGTGATTCTGTTTTGAAATGTAAATATTGAATATTTACTCTGAGAATTTAATTTTTGTAAAAGATATTGGTGATCACGTGTATATATATATATTTTAAATCACTGATGATCACTCTGAAATGTTGCCGATGACCCAAGAATCACACCGATTGTTTTGGAAAATGTACAAACACAGAAGTTTATTTTCCGCCATATTGCTGAGTGTTTATAAAATCAGTGTTATTGTATGCCTGTTACATCAAGTATGATTCAAACTCAGTTTCCTTACATGAATCCCTTATACATTTACAATAAAATAACAAATTGTCTATGTCACCAAAACCAAGTGTCTCTTTGAAATTTAGCACAAAAATCAGGTGTTAAAATGAATGCAGTGCTCAGAAAACAGGACTTGTTTTAAAATGTAAACAAAGCTACCATATATTACCGTAGATAAGCCGAATTTTGAGGACCATAAAAAGCAGTCTGTAGAAGGGGGTCGACTTATCTATGGGTTACGCTTTCATCAAACTTTTTTCCAGGGGTAAGAAAACAACATCATATCACTTCTCGTGAACAAACAACAGAAGACGACTTTGTCAGTAAAGACGTCAAATTTGCAATTAAACATCACTGGACAAGATTATTTACCTTTTAAGTTCTAAGTTGTGTTTGCTGGGCATTGTATTACTTGCAGGGATTAGGATTACCGTGTGTATTTGAGCCGGAAACAGCAATCAGCTGTGCACACATTTCCCGGTGATCAAGTTCAAACATGCACAATAATATAACGGGATGAATTCTGACGCAGTCATCAGTAAAATATAATACAGAATACTATTATTTAACCCAGAGAAATATATCCACAAAAGATACCATTTTGACACTGATTTTAAGGGTCAAGTTTTGGGGTCAGCTTATCTACGGTAATACACGGTAAGTACTGACTTCACACTGATCTGTTTGACTGGCATTTTAATGGTTGATGAATAATAAGAAAGGTTGGATACTTTATGAATGGAAACTTCTTGATTGTATTATGGAGCATTTCAGTATAGCTTCCTATACCGCTGTCAAGCAAGAGTGAAGTACTACAGCGCAGAACAGACTTGTATACATCTAACCTAACAGGGATAAATTAACACATGAAGGTATAGCTTCCTATACCGCTGTCAAGCAAGAGTGAAGTACTACAGCATACCGGCTGTCAAACAGACTTGTATACATCTAACCTAACAGGGATAAATTAACACATGAAGGTATAGCTTCCTATACCGCTGTCAAGCAAGAGTGAAGTACTACAGCGCAGAACAGACTTGTATACATCTAACCTAACAGGGATAAATTAACACATGAAGGTATAGCTTCCTATACCGCTGTCAAGCAAGAGTGAAGTACTACAGCGCAGAACAGACTTGTATACATCTAACCTAACAGGGATAAATTAACACATGAAGGTATAGCTTCCTATACCGCTGTCAAGCAAGAGTGAAGTACTACAGCGCAGAACAGACTTGTATACATCTAACCTAACAGGGATAAATTAACACATGAAGGTATAGCTTCCTATACCGCTGTCAAGCAAGAGTGAAGTACTACAGCGCAGAACAGACTTGTATACATCTAACCTAACAGGGATAAATTAACACATGAAGGTATAGCTTCCTATACCGCTGTCAAGCAAGAGTGAAGTACTACAGCGCAGAACAGACTTGTATACATCTAACCTAATAGGGATAAATTAACACATGAAGGTATGCATCAAAAGAATTAACAGCAGGAGTAGATTTTGGTAATGATGCTGTAACAATTGGAGGAAACCAAACTGTTCATGAGGTGGAACAAAATTTACATAGCTGATAAGATTAATTAGCAACTAAATTACTGATCACCACATTTGTATGGTTTCACTAATTACTTGGTTGATTTTCCTTATATGCTGGCCACAGTGGCATGAACTAACTTTTGTATTCTCTTCCAGGCAGGAGTGAAGGATATGGTGTACAACTGTAGCTATCACTCTGTGCAGTGCATGTCAGTGGTTGCTGTACCAGGAAAGGAGGACTGTATCTATGCTGGTGGGGTTTCATTCCAGCTGCTGCTCTTCAATGCCAAGGTCAGTTCACTGACAGTTCTTGCTGCTTCACACAAAAATAACAATACTGGTCAGAGATTTGCCAATGGTGAATGCCACTTAAATCTCTGATTGTTTTATGTTCACCAACGATTAACTGAACATAACCAGATGTCTTGCACTGTCACTGTTTGGGAATGACATCATCTGTATGAGACAGGTTGTGGGAAGTAGTGTTTTTTTGTAGAGTTTCATTTGGGGCATGGGATGAATAGTTATTTCCGATTTCTCTGAAACTAAAGCGCTAATTATTCATGGATGTTTGAATTTATCAAGGGGACAAAGTAATCGCTGGACCCCGCTGTTTTCATGCTCTCATTTTCCACTGTCAAACCCATTAGACAGATGCTAGCTGTGTTCCTACTGTCAAGCTCTCTCTACAGGTGAATAGAAAGAGAGCACTCATGTATATAACTTGCAGTACTTTTTAACAAATAGCCATTACATATCATATAAATACCTAATGCAGACATTTTGAAATAGCCAAATCTAACCAGTGTATGGACCTTTAGAAGATAATCCCTGGATTTAATATACTGTAAGACCAATTTCTTGGACAGCCACCAGTAGTGGTTGTTGTGTGCCTCAACTTAACATTGAGTGGCATGAAGACCAAAGTTCTCTAGTTTCATTTTTTGGCACTTGATTGGGCAGCTGAGCTGCATATCATGGCCACGCTAGAAAGATTGTGGGTTCAAATCCCAGTTAGCCCTGATTGTGTTATGGTGCTTGTCCTGTGTTCATGGGTTTACCCCAAAGTGGTAAATGTCTGAGAGCATCTGTGTGTGTTATGTGTGGATTTTGGAATTGAGCGGGAGCAATGGTTATTGGAGGGTCACTTGTTTTGGCCGAACAAATCAGACTTAATAAGGCTAGTGACAGGAGCCTTAAACTACAACAGAGAAAGAGACTTCACTGCTATCTCCATGCTTTGAACCACACAATACTAGGCTTCATATATCAAGTAAAGACGGCAATATAGATTATTGATGTCTGATATTGTCAAATTGTATTGATGACTATTTTGCTTTATTGACAGACTCCACATATTGTCCAGACATTTGAGTTGTCGGAGGAGATCAAATGTATGCACTACGATGCAGGGACACTGTATGTGGGGCTGATGTCAGGTTCTGTGGAGGTGTTTGAGGTCAAGGTGAGACTTTGGAAAAAACACTTGTCTTGTGGGGCTAATGAAGCCATTATGTTAGATGATAATGCTGAATAACCTTTTGGATTTACTGGGTCAGATCCAAAGCATTCTATGCTTGTCTTCAGATCATGGATCTGGTGATCACACTGAAATGTTGCCGATGACCCGAGAATCACAATGATTGTTTTGAAAAATGTACAAACACAGAAGTTAACTGACTGCCCAGAAATGTTTTCTCTCTTGTTTATGTATACCAATTACAGAGTTATTGTGCCATAGTGATTGAAATCATCTTTTGCCAGAACCACCGCCATAAAGACTCGTTCCAGTGTGCCTACCAGGCTATACACTGTATCTCCTCTGCGAGAGAAGGAGGCAGTAAACTCATCTGTGTGTCTGCACAGGACACCACAATCTCTGTTTGTGATGCTCGAAGTGGGCTGCCCGTCAGAATACTAGGGGGACACAAAAAAACCTCCTTCTCTGTTATGGTGAGTATATCCGGCCAGAAATGTGCTGTAACAAATATGAAACATGATATGCTGGCACTCAGTTACCTTTACACATTCAACACTAGAATTGGAATTAAACACCGAAAATTGACTGGGCAGAATAGGTTTCCAGTACCTTAATAATGATTTTGTTGACATTGAGGTTGTCAGTTTGGTGTGTTATCATTAACAAATTTTGATGAAGACATCAGTGTATAGTCACACAAAGAATGTAATTTAATCAATAGGATGTCAGTTATCAAGGGTATCTGTTATTTGTCAAGCCACCTACTTTCATTTTGAACCATCATCTCTCTCTCTCCCTCTCCCTCTCTACTTCTCCCCTCCCCTTCTGTCTAGTCTGTTTCTTAGTTTTAGCGAATAGCCCTTCCAAGAAACATGAATGCTGATTCACCTCTGAAATTTATTGTTCGCTCACTTATTGCTGCTTTAATCTTGTAGAGATCATGACTGTTGACATAATCTTCTGGAACTGTTTACTGAAAGATATGAGTATAACACTCCACCTCATAGTCAGTGACAACCTATTCGTTATGAATAATTTCAGTATATTTCTTCCTGCTGTTTCAGTCATCAGCCCACTTTGTATTCAGCGGGTCTGGAGACAGGACAGTCATGATGCATAACCTACATGTAAGTAACTGGCCATGTTGGAACAACAATATATCTGTCAAGGTGTCCATTGTTTCAAAAATGCTGAAAATTGGTTGAGGGATGCATTAGTTACCTCACTCACTCTCTGTATTTAGAGTTAGCTAATACCCCAAGTAAAACCATATTGTGATTTTGTCCTTACTTCATACAAGGAAGCAGTTGCAAAAATAATATTGGAATCTCACATCTTCCTGCAACTGTTTTCACCCGAGGAAGTCAAGTTTCCACAATAATTTGTTCAACTAACAGTAATTACTTGAGAAATAACTTTCCATTATTGTCCCCCTCCGCAACATGGAACGGGGACTATGTATTCAGCAGCGTGAGTAGTATATACAATGGGGGTTTTGGACCAGTTCCAACAAAAGCCTCTGCAAAGCCTTATTTCACAGATAAGGCTTTGGTCGGACCCTTAGCTCTTGCTACCATTACCCCTACTATAAAAAGTTTGGGACGCTAGCGGGATACGAACGCCCAATGTTACACCTCACAGCCGCACCACTTAACCGACTGAGCTACCGGGGACATGGTTGAAGCATGTCGGTTTAACGGGTCTATCCTGGGATTGCATCATCCAATACTGGGCTGCGTCTAACGTGCCGCTATGACACTATTGTGCCGCTATGCCATATTTACCTCGATGAAACAGTTTAATGTGAATCGCCTATGATCTCTTTGGTGTTTGTAATAAAGGCTTGCTGGGCTTTTTGCACCCCTTGTTCTATGTACTTTTTTTTCTCATCCTCACTGATAGCAGACTTACGAGACTTGGACCGAATATCTTGTTTCATTTTGTTATATTTTGTGAGTTCAGAGAGGATTGAACTAAACTCCTCCTCTGAGATCTTACTGTCAGTAAGTGCCGTGGAAATACGCTCACTTACCGTGTTCAGCTTTGCTTCGGCCAGAACCCTGATCTCATCGTGTTTCAACGCCTTACGATGCAGTCTGCGTGATGCAAACTTAAGCGCCAACCCTAACACCCCTGCCACCCCAGCTGTTATTTCAATGCCTAGCACTACGGGGGTAGCCACGATGGTAGCTAACAACCCAACACCTGCCGCCCCTAGTCCCATGCCGGTTGTCATAAGGGCAGTATCAGCCCCATCCACGATATTGAAAGCTCTATGGTACTTCTTACATAGTGCTTTACGCGTGTCGCGGTCTTGCTCTAGTTGGCGTTTTACATCACATAACTGTCTCAAACGGAACCCGTCTACGGTTTCCAGGGTCTTCGCTACTTCCTCTACGACTGGGTACAGCCCCATCCTATAATATATATTACAAAAGATATTTTAATTGGGTTTCAGTTAACAGTCGATCAACGTACTTGAGACTTATAAGGTGTAAACCCTCAGGTAGGAGAATAGGTGAGAATTTAATAGGTGACTCTGCATCCACACGATCCCAATAGGAGGAGGGGCTTATTGAGGAGGTTATAGAACCCGTTGAGGGGTCCGTTTGTATGATGATACGGTAACGTTCATTACTGTGCCTGGGATTAAAGTGTACTGTCACCCCGGGTAAGAGTTGGTGTTCTTTACTAACAGAATGTTCCAGGAGATAGATTTCTATGATGAGTATGGAGCCTGGTACCATAAACGGAACTCAGAGCAGTTATGCCTTAACTCACCCCCGCGGAATGCCATTAACATATTGGGGCGCATTCTTAGACAAATACTTGAATTAGGCCCAGGAACGAAACACGAGGGTAAGACACCGCTATTCTTAATTTCAGAGATTTGATTGTGTTCCTTAAGTGAGATATAAGGTGAGGTGAGGGTTAAGTTGATTATCCATTCAGGCTCTTTAAGATCTGATAACGACACCCGCCTATACACGTTGTCTTTGAAGTGTAGGATGTATAAGGTGTCTTCCTCACCAGGTTGATCGAATCCCTCCGTGTCCCCTAAGTCGTTAAGTGTAGTGTTGGGGCGGAGCCAAGACATTGCTATAATACTATTACGATATAATTTCCAACTGGTTTTCTGATAATAGTTCAGGGGTGCACTTCACCCCCATGAAGTGTATGTTGTCGGGTAGGAAGATCTTGGTTAGTGATATCGTGTCTTCCACGATCACGGTGACACCCTGCAGACTGGTTTTGGAGTCGACACCCACCCGCACGTAAACGTTGCAAACGTGATACTGTTGTTGTTTCCCCCACCTCAGTTTGACCCCCTTCACGGTTTCGACATCATCCTGCGATGGTTCCCCTAGGTAGACTTGGATGATCAGTGTTGAGTTCGCCGGTAGACTCTCCAGTATCCTGACCACGCCTTCAAATTCAGACACCAACTGCAATGTCACGTTTTGCATTCCCACTTTACTCGATAGCATGTGGGCTGCCATACTGGCGAGTGGGCTGATGACTATGCTACGCTCTCTGAGTCGGGGCGTAAGCCACGAGCAGGGTTCCGTTGTTCACGACTTTGTTTAGGTGGTTGTCTATGTTATCCGTGAACACGTAGGGGAGCCGAGCCTAATATTGAGAAACCAGTCGGCTTTATCGGGTAACAACACCCACTTGTCATCATCGGTGAAGACGAGTGTATATATGGCTTATTTCGGGCGACGGTAGAGCTCTCAACATCGGTTAAGTCGAACAGTTTGCCCCGAACGATGGGTATATCATCCATTTATCATCACCGGTCGCGGACTAGGGTGTACCGAAAGTGTTGACAACCGCTCTTGAGGTATCTACTATATCACTTAGGTTGCTAGTACCACCATTGGAGGGGACTTCAACGCGTTTGTAAATGCTGTTTTTCAGTTGCAAAGCATACAATTTACCATCTACTCCAGGGTCGTCGAATCCGCGTGTGTCCCCGAGGTCGGAGATCCCCACATTGATGCATTTTTTCAACTTCATTCCAGGACCTTGTGCGCTGGTCATTTTATGTGCAGCGTTATGCTGAGGTATCCTATATTCACGAGATTATGATTTATATCTAACACCGATATTATCAGCTCAGGGATGTTGCCCTGGGTTAACCTCTTATACTGCCGAGATGAAAAAGACACAGTTCTACCGTCGTTGTATTTCTCCGTTTTCACCGGTACGGCTCTCAGTATAGTGGAAGGGTGACCCCCTTGAATGTTGTCAGTTGTGCTAACCTGGCTGAGATGAATGCACAGCTCTCGCTACGGTACTAAGCCGGGTAACTTAGTGCCTGTGGTGGTAGTCGTTGGTTTTATCTCGTCAGGCTGCATACCGAAAGTGTCCTCGCCAATGGTCGGCAAGCCTCAAGGAGTTTCTTCCGTTGTTGATTAACACCACTGTGCCGTTTGAGTCGCTTCATCTTGAGTTCGCTCCCCAGGGTTTGAAGACCTCATCGCTTAGAGAGCAGCACACGCTGTAGTAGCCGTCAGTTATCTGGTTCGGCGCCACCTACGAACAGTTTATTGTTGCTGGCGTTGATGTTAGTCCATCGCGTAGGTAGGTGATATCGCACAGTCGCGACTTCGAAGTGGACCCGGCGTGTTATCGATCGCGTCGTCAGCTGAACGGCCTCACCGCCGTTATTCCTGGAAGTGTTATGTACATGTTGGAGTATATAAACTCATTATATAATAGTTTTAAAATGTACTCCCCTGGAGTGTTTTACCCTAAACTGGACGATTTTCCCACATGAAGATCGTGGTCGCTGCCGGGTTGTATTTCGGCGCCCAGTTCATAGATGTGTTTGATAAGTATAAGTTTTCGGTGACTAACACTAAGGTAGTTCACGCTTGGTTCAACAAACCGATGCAGTTCTGGCAGAATCAACTTAACTTCGCCGTGTGGTGCGCTACAAACGGGTGTGGTGTGACATTGACCGACACTTTCGCGTGGACCGCTGAGTCAGTCTGTGTTCACGCTTTCACGTGTACTACCAGGTCAGGCGTATCCTCAAAGAGATCAGCCCCGCTCCACAGGAAAAGGCGTGGGATGCAGTAAACAACCAGTACGATAGACGGGCCTACTGAACGTATTTGCAACGAATTGAACTAAACACGAAGACGGATTGGCGCTTTGCGGGACCGAACCATTTTGGGTATCCCCATCGTTCACAACATGCACCTCGTGGATGCCAGCGAAGTTGAAAGAATGGGGATACAAGTCGTATCATCATCACAAATCTAACGAAAGTGGGATGACCGTTACATGGCTTTCGACAACAGTAAGGATTACCGAGTCTGGAGGTTCGAGCAGGGGCAGCGGATGACTGGAAAAGTTCATGCTGGACACGCCGAAAAGGATTCACTCGTGCGGGGTAATCAGGTTAAACGACTTCGATTCGAACGCGTCACGTGTGGGCGCTGTTAGCGCGCAGACGCAAACGCTGCTTCCAACATCCTCGGTAAGGGGACTGCTTACGATGCTCAGAAACAGTTCGTTGTTAACGTTGAGGATGCTATCAATGCTCCAGTTGATCTCCCGAGTGCCATCAAACGCTACCAAGACGTGTTGGAATATGCCAGGTCGAAAGTCGACTACGTGTTCGACGTGGGGTTGTACATGGCTCCGGCGATATGCAACTGAAGTAAAAAGTGGTGGGCTACAACAACGAAATAGTCATAGCCACGGCGGGCCAAAAGTTACGCCAACCTCAATGTCAATGTCCCCGTCCCCGTCCACCCACGACCGGGTGAAACGGGTATAGTGGCGCCACCCCCAGAGCCTAGGGTTCAGCCAACACACCCACAGCCCCAGCCTGCAGCGTCCAATCAGCAGCACATCGATCGTAAAACAGCCCTGGTGGTTGGTGGGGTAGCTTTGGGGCTCATTTGGTTAAAAATTCCTTAGCCGCTTCACGTACACCAGACCCGCCACGGCGACGATGGCTGCCCACAGGTTTTGACTGAGCCACGTGGCAGTTTTAGCCAAAGCGCTCAGCAGCCACGAGACGATGCTACCCAGGATGCCGGGTAGGGCTTCGGCGGCCTTACCAGCCAGTTTAGCCAGGGCTTCTCCGAGTTTTTATCCACTCTTTGAC